GTGAGAGCCTTCAAGATGAGGGATTTATTGTGGATAAGTCTTAGTGCTGCCAGCCAGCTTGTCAGTATGGCGGTTAAGGTTGGATAGATGACGGGTCTACCATATCTCGATGCTCTCGGCGCAGCACTGCCTCCCTTGGCTTTGTCATCGATTGCTGTTGAGGATGTTGAAGCATATGAGTGACGTGCCAAATTCATGCCAAAGTGTGAAGTAACTGCTGACAAGACCATTATAATTCACCCGCTACGTCGCGTGGGGTTAAACTCCGTTTAGCTTTGAGGACTTGGCGGGGTTGCTGTATGCAGAACATCTATCGCCACCAGCCTGATAGCTCTTCGAAGGTTTAAAGTCAAGGTGGTCATGTTCTGCGGACGTGCTATATCTGCAACAAGGGATATGATTCGAAAGGAGATTCACTATTTGCCTTGGAAATTGGCAGGCAACGCCGGCAACATGCTTCTCGTAGATCGATAGAACAATGCTAAACTCAGATAGAATGAGGTGGAGTAGGATGGTCATATTATTGTGTAGCTGATAATTGCAGGCAGAACGTTATCATGATAGCATGCGGCACCTGGACCCGTTGAAGTTGGACAAGTGACCAATTACGGAAACCAAAACATTGGCGTCTTGCAGCCCACCTCTTGATAGTAATTTCTACATTACAATATGTTGATTTTAATCCGCAGATGGTTCATGGTATAAGTTGTCACGATCGTTACTAATGCCTCATACAGTGCGTTTTCAGCTGTTACTCGTTCTGGTCAGTTTCCTCTCTCTCTTTAGAGACTTTCACATTGTTACATATCTATAGTCAGTACCTTAATCAGTTATCTTCCCAAGCATGATAGCACTTGGTACTTTGACTTGTATAAACGGTACCTGAGGGAAGGCAAAGGTGTGAGTTATATACGCATTGCCTTTTTTACAATGTCTTGAATGACCATTGGTTAGCATAGATCAAGATGGCGCTTTTGCGAGCAGAGTCTGATACGGTCGCGTCCTGTTTACTGGGATAGATTAGTGTCTAGAGTCTAAGACATATGCTACTAAATGAAAGAACGGGCTATAGGCAGCAATCAAGCCTGTCGTACCCCGCGCTGACTGAGAGCGTGGCCCGTTTTCCCACATAGGAGCTAGTGCACACTATAGGAAAGCCGGGACATAAATGCTCCAGGTTTCTTATATCGGCGATAGATAAAATGGTGATCCGATGATAACCGAACAGATCAGGGTGACTGTTGTGAACGGGCCACGCTAAGCGACGTTGTATTGTTCTTACACTAGAACAAGCCTAACGGGTCAGAGCATTTTCAGAAAGGAGTGTCACCAAAAGGAAGAGAGTTCTCAGCTACTCCACCAATCAACCGCAAGGGACAGGGATTCATGGCCTGACCGACAATTCGCACGGCGCTAAACATGCAGCCATGCTGATATCACGTGGCTGAAGGCTCACACTCTCACGGCACCCAAGACTCTGTTGCTCTTGGCTATCTGATCCTTCTCTGAGTACAATAGCTATCTATACTTTCCATCACCGACATGGCATCTCTGAGCATCCTGATAGTCGGCTGTGGCATCGCAGGACCCACACTAGCGTCCTTTCTGCTGCTCGCCGACATCCCCGCAGCCCAAAAGCCTCGGATAACCATTCTGGAGCGCGAGTCGAACCAGAAAGCTCATTTGCGCGGACAGAACATTGATATTCGTGGTGCAGGTGTGACCATCGTCCGCAAGCTCGGACTGGAGGCCCAAATCAGAGCTTCAACCACGGGGGAAGAGGGCGTCCGCATGGTTGATGAGAGTAATCGTATTTGGACGGAGAATCCTGCAGATAGAACCGGTACAATACAGACAGGAACAAGCGACATAGAGATTCTCAGGGGTAAACTGGCTGAGCTATGCTGGAAGAATAGCCAGCGGATTAGCGCGGAAGCCCAACGCGAGGGCGCCGCTGGGATCGAATACATCTTTGGTGATTTTCTCGAGGATATTCAGCAGCACGGAAGCCAGGTGCATGTGCGCTTTGCTAAGAGCGGGAAGACAAGAAGCTTCGACCTCTTGGTGGGAGCAGATGGCATGCAGAGCAGGACGCGGAAGATGGTTTGGGGTGAAGAAGGGGAAAGCATCCGACTGAAGCGGTTGGGTATGTTCGCGGGCTTCTTCAGCATTCCGCGAGAAGAACACGACGACAACTGGAGGCGGTGGTTCCATGCCCCTGGGCGACGAGGCATTATGTTGCGACCAGACGGTCTCGGCATGAGGTCCACCATCCTCATGTATGTGGTCAATGATAAGGACCCAAGATTCGTCGGTGTCGCGACGAAGGGAAGTGGCGGCATTCAGGAGCAAAAAGCACTCTTGGGGGAATACTTTCACGGCGCCGGGTGGGAGTGCGACAGAATCATAAGGGAAATGAAGGCAACTGATGATTTTTACTTCGATGCGGTATCACAGGTGAAGATGGACAGCTGGAGTAAAGGAAGGGTAGTGCTTCTGGGCGATGCTGGGTAAGTTGACGACCCTTACACCATCACAGCTGCGTTCGGCTGGTATTCCTAAAAAGCTCCCGACTAAGACATAGAAAGGTATTGTGCATCACCCATATCGGGTCTGGGCACAACGTTGGCTTTTAGCGCGGCCTATAAACTAGCGGGTTACCTCCAACCCTACATCAAGGGAGAGAGCCCAGACCTTTCATCTGCCTTCACAAAGTACGATGAGCAAATGCGACCTATTGTCGAAGATGCACAGCAACTGGCACCTGGTATGCCACATCTTATTAACCCCGAAACCGCTTGGGGCATCTGGACCATGAGAAGTCTCATTCTGGCACTCTCCTATACGAGGGCCTTCTTCTACATCATCAAACTATTCGGAAGGATTCTTCATCTGGGGCCTCAGGCAGCCGATTACGTCACAGTCGAGGATTTCGGTTTCAAGGATATGACAGTGTGGAAGGTGCGAGATACAGCTGAGTAGAGGGATGGGCAGGATGTTCGGCATACATTATGCCAAACCCTGTATTCAATTTTCTACCCCAAATCCAAGTGCAGCTTTCTACCGGCATTAGCTTTACATCAGCTGCCGAAAGAATGGATTGCTTACTCCTCACCGGATTCTGCACTGCCAGTGCTGAGCTAAAGTATCGCTCTGCATGGATTTGGGTTGGATGTGGATTTATTCTCCACTCCTCGTGGACCTGAGTGGCACAAGGTCTTCGGTGGGACAGGATGTCGCGAACCAAGCAATAATATTATGCGTATCATGTGAGGTTGAACCACCGAAATAAGGAAATAAACTTGTAGTTGTTCCTCTTCCTTCCAACATTAGAAAAGCCACTGACATAAATAAGAGACGTTCTGTCCTGTGCTGTGTCAGTCGCTGTAATTAAGGTTGCCAAATCCGTTTCAAGAGCACCAAAGTACTCCGTAGTTACTGAGTACTCGGTTTTGCAGCGCTAATTTCTGTGAGTCGGCGCAACCTGGTCAGTTCTGCCGACATCCAGGAAGTCAAGGCGACAATGTCCGCTCCAAAGTTGACAAAATCAAAACCCTGGTGAAATTTGGCCGCGGCCACATCTGCCGAAAGGGCAAAGTGACCAGCATATTTTCCAGCACCTTTGGCGGCTTGCAGAACGCGATCTGTGGCCTCCTGGACCTCAGGAATCTGGGCGTGGTCCAAGGCAAAGTACCCCAGGGATGAGGCCAGGTCATTGGGCCCGACAAAGAGCATGTCGATGCCTGGGACTGCTGCAATGGCAGCACAATTCTCGACTGCCATCCGCGATTCAATCTGCACGATAATGACCACGTTGTCGTTGGCGTGAGTCAGGTACTCTCGCCCGCTCTGATTGAAGGCAGCCGGAGCAAACATGGCACCTGCACCCCGCAACCCCTGGGGCCACTGCGAAGAGGGGTATTTGCACCCTCGTACAATAGCCTCGGCTTGTTCCTGACAGGATGTTTAGACGAGGAAGGAATGGCAGTCATGAGGGACGGGCATTTGACGGACCTTGGTCTCACACATAGGCACCATTATTGCGTGGGCGCCGCAGTCCAAGGCGCGCTTCATCATCCAGGGCTCCGAAGAGGGAATGCGCACGATGGGCGACATCCCAGCTGAGGAGACGGCTCCGACCTGCAGGTACATGGCCTTGTCATCGATGTCCCCATGCTCACAGTCAATCAATACCCACTAATTCAGTATCAGTACTGAGGATGAGAGTAGAATGTGAGAAAGACTGCACGTACATCTGCCCCTAGAGGTGCTACGGTGCGTGCTAATGAGTAGCCCGGAAATTCCAGCCACTGTCCGATGGACGGCCCTTGCCGCGCGGTCGCACGCTCTAGTGAGGCCTGCAGTCGCGTCTTGCCAGTTGTGGACACAACTGGCGAAGCAATCGAAGTGACCATGATAGTACAAAGTGGGTCTACACGTTCTGAAGTGGTCTCTGCAGTGGTTGGTTGCGAGTAGTGGTAGTAGTGCTGATCAATACTGCGGGTTGTTTAGATGATAGTTGTATATAAATGGGAAATAGGGTCGGATCACGGCCCGAGGTCCGGTTTCAGTTGCTGAACCCTTCAAGCTCTGTTGCATTGTAGTCTAGTCCCATGAAGCTATCATCAATATCTGTTATTAGAGGTAATTGTAAGCGATTATTACATTGTGTCTCGTCATGCTTATCGAATCGCCGCTGATCTGAAATTACGGGCAAGTTCACGAAGGGGCCGGATGAATATGTTGTGTTTGGCCGAGTGCGACCGAATGACACTTATCAACAAAAGAACTGATAGATAGCAGACAACTGAACTAAGGAACTCGTTACGAGTCAATGCACTGATCATGTATGATAAACCCCGTGATAAGCAACTGCCCCGATAACCAAAAGTCTGATAACGATGTTAGCTAGGGATTTGCTTCCCCTCTTCTCCCCGCAAAGTTGCTTTCCCCGCGATGAAACTGCTGGGCACCCCCTTGTGTCTCACTGTTGATTCTTCATGGCTTCGCCAATGCACAGAAAGTCCGACCGACGTGTCTGGAAGGCCTGTCTTGCTTGCCGGCGGAAGAAGGTAGCGTCTCAGTACTTACCTCTTTGATTTTGCTTCTACTCTGCTCCGGGGATTTTGCTAATCTCGACCCGTTCGCAGGTAAAATGTGACGGGGAGGAGCCATGCCATGGTTGCCAGTCGCGCAACCAGAAATGCGAGTATCCCGACAGTAACGATAATGCGGCGGCCAGCCGACGCGATGCCAGCTCGTTGGACAAGCATTACCGGAATATTGAGGCGTTGGGACTGCGGCTTGAGGGCCTCACCCAGACGCTATCGGAATGTATCCTCGCTATTCGCGACACCAACAACCGAACAGAATTACCCCTTAACCCGGGCTCGGACTGTGACTCACGGTCAGAATCAAGGACCAGATCCCTCCCAACAGAAGAGGACATGGAGACGGAGGATGATATTCCTGGCACCGATCACCTAGATGCCCCGCCAACTCCCACATCTTACAAATCGCGGGATCGTGTCGGGCATATGGTACCTGACTCGTATGGGCGTTTGCGGTCTGTTTATGAATAGCAAATATCACAGCATGAGTTGCATCGCTGATGAATTCCTTCCAGATACCTTGGCGGTGCAGCCAATAATCTAGTTATTGAGGCGGTGCAGGGGTTGTCACCGTCTCCAGGTCGCTCGCCCCATTCAGCTCAAGCTTCGATCCCCCAGGCCTCAATCGAAATGCCCTTCTTCCAACATGGACAGGTCTGGCCCGAGCTCCCCTATCTGCCATCGGCGAACGAACTGGCCCGTCCACCCCAGTATGTAGCAGATCTCCTTGTCGGAATTTACTTTGACCAGTTACACTATACATTTCCTATCCTAGACCAGACCCGCTTCGTTTCCCAGTATCGCGCCATGACTGCGGGAAGTCCTGTAGAAGACGGTTTCCTCTCCGTCTTCTTTGCTGTTTGCGCCTGCGCCTCCGGGCTACTGCCACGCGAACCCGGTGCTGCGGGCCTGGTAGGCATTGACTACTACCAAAAGGCTCTTCTGCTTTTCTGGGCCTCCAGCGGTGAAGTGTTTCTGGAGCAAGCCCAGTGTCTGGGCCTGCTGGCCCTGTGCTCTGCCGGCTGGAACACCGTGGCCCAGAGCTGGCGTCTGGTGGGTCAGGCAGTCCGCATCGCCCAAGATTTGGGCCTCCATATCGCCAGCCTGGTATGTCACAAACACCCTGTGCACTGTCACTACTGAGCCCGTGCTTGTCAGATTAACGGTAGTACTGCAGAAGGATGCCCATGTTTCCACTAGCGACCACGATGCCGACGCCCAAGTCGTCCAAAGGGTATGGTGGGGCTTGTTTACACTCGACTGGTAGTTCCCCAAAATTTGAATTTCCCTGCTTCAAAAAGAGGCGTAAGGGCATAGTCGAATACATAAAGTACTAGACAGAGAAAAATAAAATTGATTCTGACCGTGTATACAGCCTTACATCCATCTGCCTCGGTCGTCCCATGGCCGCCAACCTGGATGATTGCTGCTGCGAGCTGCCCTCGGCCGACGGGGACAGCTCACCCATGGCTGGGTTCGTCGCCTTCACTCGCCTGTGTCGGATAGCTGCCAAAGTGCATCGCCTACACGGGTCGCCGCCAGTGCGAAGAGAGACATGGACAGCGCGCTGGCAACATCTGCGACCGACCGTCGACCGGCTGGCTCATGAATTGGAGCATTGGTTACAGCAGCTGCCGGATGAGATTCGATTTTCCGCCAACCGGATTCAGACGGGACCCAGTCTCACCATGTGCTTTATCGTCTTTATCCTTCACTCAGCTATCATCATGAATTTGTATCGGTATGTTTCTTCATTCAGTCAACGTCCGAGCCCCGATACAATGTTCAGAGATGACTAAACATGTTACCGGCCAGGCCTCTTGTCGGTCAAAGTCTGTCCACCCCCACCGATCCGAGTAGCGAGTGCATCAGCGCGGCGCGGAGCTGCATCCAGGCTGCAGAGCTAATCCGCGAGCGGGTGCCTCCATCCCATTACCTCGCCTTCTGCGTGCAGTATCTTACTATCTCTGGTATTCTGCTGTGGACCATGGAGAACCCACAGAGCGATCAGCCGGCCGCGGGCCTCACTGACGTCTATCAGGCGTTACAATCCTTGATCGAGCTGGAGTGCGTTTGGCCCTGCGCGAGTCGTGGCCGGGCGATCCTGGAGTGGCTCTTGCAACATCCCCGGGCAGACGCGAGCGCTCATCTTCCATCTTTGCCCGTTCTGGATGGGCTGTGGGAGCCCTTTTCGCCATCGACTGCGGACATTGTTTTCAATGGGCTTTAGCAGTGGTGTGCAATACCCGCATGTACCTTCGCAATACATATGCGCGAATGCGACACGATTGCCAATTTCTGAGTAGACTTAGTAATGGGCTACGCTGAACAATGCTGTTATAGCCATTAGGTTCCGGTGCCGAGTCCAAATAGATAGAGTAAGGGTTTTCGAAGCTTGGTAGCCTGGCCGGGCCCGGTGAGCGGTCATGAGGGTATGCTAACGACGGTCGTACCATGATATAAACCCGAGAGTGACAAGACAGGCGCCCAAAGCAGACGATGATGGTGATCTCAGCAGGTAGATACCGTAGGATATCCTTTGCGCGTAAGGTCTACGGCCCGATGATATCTTCCGCGTAGTACGCCACAAGGTAGATAGCAGCCACTGTGGTCTTCTGTGCGTAGCCGGCTATATGTTAGATCAGGAGCTAGAGGAGAAGACTGCACGCTTAGTTCGGATCTCATCCGGTGTGTTGTGAGATTGGGCATATGTTGATAAACAGATAGTGCGGTCGATAAGCAAGGGTGGATATGCTGCGTGGACATGCTAGGTTTGCGGTGCAGGCAGTGGCCGACCGTGAAACTTGCTTCCTGCCCTTGATCTCACATGGGCGCAACCTACGAATTGTGTGACAAGGGTGTGTAGTAATATAACACTTCATTTTCGTGGTACATAATCGTAGTACAAACTGAACTAGGTATTGATGCAGCACACTATATACTCTATTCTAATAAGACAGATTTAACCCACTAGCTGGTCAAGCTTCCACGACGCCCGTATCACTCGAGCCATGCGCGCAATACCACATTTCATCTCCTCTTTCTGTACGGCTGTTAGCTCATCCAAGCAGATAGCCTTTCCAGGGTCTCATACCGTCGTCATGGAGAAGGAAAACCGAAAGTTGGTCGTCGAGGGTGTGGCCCCGCGCGCGTTGGTTGTAATCTTGTCCGGCCCCTCCCAGGGGTGGTAATAAGACCCCGGGGTCAGGAGGACCTGTAGTGATTGTCAATATGTCCTCTGGATTGTCTACAAAACGATCTGTACTTTACTTACTTTGGCCTCGGCGAACTGCCGCCAAAGCTGGTCGGCCACGGTCTGCTCCGGATCAACCACGTTCTCATCGTGCCGTAGCTGCCTAAAAGCAGAGTTCTGCGACAAATAGAAGCAGGCCCAGATGAACATACCTCCGGTCGGTGGCACGAAGGAGAAAATAGGAACGTCACTGAGATGGGCCACCAGGGCTCTGCTTCCCTCCGCCGCGTTCTCGAGGCGGAAATGCTGCGAAATGGCGTCGATCATCGAGTCACGTCGGCAACGGTACTCCACACTTAGCCCCTGCAGCCATCCAAGATAGCCGGCTATACCCCAGCTTTGCATCAAGCGGAAGGTAAGTGCCTGTGAGAGCCCGGACGGATCCTGCGTCTCGACTTCGGTCGCACGCAGCAGTCGCTCCGTGAACACCGGATTTGCGACAAAGTAGCCGAGCCGCAGACCCGGTGCTAACGTCTTACTAAAAGACTCCAACCGGATGACACGGCCCTGGTGGTCGAAGTGAAGCATCGACGGTGTCAAGGATCTCAAGAACTCATCATTTCCGACGAGTTCAGGGCCGTCCATGGCGACCTGACCAGCATCGTATTCCGGGTACTGCAGGAAAAAGTATGGGTCGTCCTCGACAATGATGACATCTGCTCAATTATCAGCCCACCGTGCAGAGCCAGTAGTGTACGTGGTCAGCCGTACCGTGCTCAACACACACATCGTAAATATCTTGTCGACGTTTTGTGCTCATTGTAACGCCCGATGGGTTGGAGCCGACACTGACAAGGTACAGCACGCGCGGCTGCCGGGCGCCAGGGTGGGAATCATCCCATTCGCGCAATGTTTGAGCGAGAGCATCAGCACGCATGCCTTCCGCGTCCGATGGAACCGGGGCCGCCTTGTTACCCAGGGGGATCCAAAAGGCCTGCGCGGATGGGTAGGTGTAACTCTCACACAGGATGTAGTCATCTGGCTCACATAACAGGCCAACCACTTTACCCCATGCGTTGGTGTTTCCGGGATGCAGCAGCACTTCCCAGTCTGCGTATGCCGGTCGATGCACCCGTTGGGTAAACTCGCGGCACCAGGCACGTAGTTCGGCATTACCTGATCCCGACCCATATTGCAAGAAACCCTCAAGGGGTAATTCGAGGGAGCAGAGGCTGTTCTCGGCTGTCGGAGCTGATGCGGTTACAGTGACTGTGTGGAATGGGAAGAATGAAGGGTGCGGAAGGCCTGAAAATGTGTGTCAGAAGGAGTACATGTGTATAGCTTATGCCATTCACTCCAGCAGCGTACAACCAAACTACTCAGTTCACCGTGTTTATGTAGTTGGCCTCCTGATGGCCCAGATAGTGACCGATTGACCAGAATACTACGGACAAGAGATCGGATGCCAAATGATCTGGAGACAAAGGAACGAATAGAAAGGGCAAACGGGTCATAGCAGCAGCAAATATGTCACAAGGGGAAACTAATTGGAGAAGATGGGGGCATTTAATCGGAACCGGACGGTAAAAACATATAGCTTGACCTGTAACATACCTCCTGCCAGGCTGACCATGTCCTCAACGGCCATAAAACGAATAATGTCCTTGAGGGGGCTGGGATGACGCGCCCGGGAGCGCAAGTTGATATGGTGGCTGAAGTCAACCGCCGTGGGCAGTTCGTTGGTGGATTGGGATTGGGTCATTGTATCTGTGGTGGAGGAAAGATAAGACGATAATGCACAGATGAAAGGAGGGAGCAATATGAAGTAGGATTTGTATGAGAATTAAGTCGCACATAATGAAGAGGATCGTCGAGATTGACGACGCTCCTCTCTTTTCTTATCGTGCGCGGCCCGAGATCCGAAGTGGCGGACAGGCGAGCAGGGCATGTCAGGGCCAAAGATAGACGCACCCGATAAATACTGGCTGCTTGCAACCGACTGGGCAACGAAATCATGAGGGGAAGTTCCAGCAATCCAAACCTCCATGGCATCTGGAAAAGCAGACATTGCGTTGGCAGAGAGGTCGCCGGATCCTCCGCCGCTTGGGGATGACAAGCATCCCGGCATGGTTGTCGACCTGGTCCACGCTAGTGAAGCCGAATATACACCGGACCAGTACCGCCGGCTGCTGCGCAAGGTAGACTGGATCATCCTCCCGTTGATGTGGATTATCTCTGGCACGCAGTACGCTGACAAGGCGTCAATCTCGATCCAGGCCACATTTGGCCTGAGCAAGACACCCATCTGGTGGGTCAACAATACTCCTGGCTGACCTCGATCTTCTACTTAGCTTTCCTGGTCAGCGAGGCCCCCGGTAATTATATATTGCAGTGTGTCAATGTTGGCCCGACCGTGGCCGTGTCTATGTTCCTGTGGGGTGAGTCTGTACACATAATATGCTGAGAGAGCTATCCACTGATAATAGCTCGAAGGCGTCATCGTGTTGTGCATCGCCTTCGCCACCAACTTTGCGGGTCTAGCAGTGTTGCGATTCCTTGAAGGTGTCACTGAATGCACCACCTACCCAGCCCTTCTACTGATCACAGCCACATGGTATACCAAGGAAGAACATGCAATGCGCTCGGTCATCTGGGGCAGCGCTAACGCTGGGATGGACGTATTGACTAGCTTGGTTAACTACGGTATTGGCCGCCGCGCTGAGACACACCCAAATGGAATGGCTCCCTGGAAGGGCATCTCCTTCTTTCTAGGGGCGTTGACCGTTGTACTTAGCGGCATCGCCTATCTTTTCCTAGGTACACCACGCGAGGTACGCTGGCTGTCCCCTGAAGAAAAGCGCATGGCTGCGGCGCGGGTGGTGGCCAGTCAGACTGGCTCAGATGCCCAGAAGCGCACTCTGGATTGGAAGCAGGTGGCCATCACGTTCCGCGACCCTCAGACCTACTTCTTCTTCTTCCTCGTCATTGTCAATTCCATTCCCAATGGAGGCACAACTGCTTTTGGAAACCTCGTGTATGTCTCCTTTGGTTTTACGGCCCTGGAGACCATCGTTAAGGGTAAGATTCCGCAACAGCTCCTATCAATCGCGTGGTTTTTGATCGCTGGGTATTTAACATTGAAAAAACCGGATATCCGCTGTGCGTTGTCCCTGTCATCCTAAACTTGCTGAGACACTAATCCTAAGGTGGCAGTCTATATCATGATTGCTTCCGTGATTCCTGCCTTCTGCGGTATGCTCGCACTGGCTCTGCTTCCTCACTCCTCGAGCCTGCTGTGGGCGCGCTGGGGCGTGTACTTCATGACCAGTGTGGGCAATCTGGCCGGTCCCTTGATATGGACTCTCTTGCCATCCAACGTGGCAGGGCGGACAAAGAAGTCGGTTACAGGGACTGTGCTATTCATTGCCTACTGTGTAGGGAACTGCGTCGGTGCCCAGGTCTTCCGAGCTAAGGACGCGCCACGATACATTCCCGCGATTGTAGTATGTTCTATTATGTATGGCCTGGAGATAGTTTTGATGATCGCGTGGCGCACCTACTGTAAGTACCTATCGACTCAAAAGCTGCGTCCGGTGCTCAAAGCTAAATTTGCATCTAGATGTTTGGCAGAATAAACGTCGCGCTTTACTGATTGCCGCCATGGCCATGACTGCCCAGGAGTCAGCGCATCAGGGCCGCCTAAATGCAGAGTCTGACATGACAGACTACGAGAACATTCACTTTGTTTACAGTCTGTAGTGAGCCAATGTGTGTTTACTATTCAAGACTAATGGATACGCGGTCGTTCGAGTTGGCTTCCTATGTATCAAGATCACCCGTTACTGGAAATAGCTAGAATCTGATTTGACGTTGTTGGTATCTTCATCTGGTACTCTATAATATGAAGAGTGATGCCTGCTATTTTATATTAACGATATGCTAATACTGAATCCGGCCGAAACTGGCCTACAACAACTTGACAATAAAGCTCATCGTCATGCCCGCGTCCCTTACGCTCTTCCTCCCATTGGCGCGTTTCGCTGGCATTATTCACGCCTTTAACCATTTGACTACATATAGCGATCCAGATGAAACACGATTGGATGCCACCATCTTCGGTCCTGTTTGTCCGCAGGCCTATCTCTCTAGCAGTGCCGGGAAGGCACCTGGTTCCAACATCGAAACTTCAGTCAATGCGCCTCCGCCAGGACAACGCTGGCCAGTGGTGTGCGGAGGCTGCCCCTTCTAAATGAGCTCGTAATATACTATTAGCATTTCTCTAAGCTTGAACTGATGCCCAGCTCTAATTTGATCCTCTCACACCCATACCTGAGCCGTCACTTCTATATGAATGCCATATAGAAACCAGCACGCTATCCTCTGTATCATAAACAGAAGTAAGTGGGTGCATTCAGCCGCCACGCCATAACGATCATGTTTTACTATCACCGAGTTACAATGATTCTAGCTATTAATTACAACCCCTGCTATTTGACCCACCCCGATACTGCCCAAATTGGAGAAGAGAATATCTTCCAGCTAAGCCGGTCACTACGGAGTGCCGAAAGCATTATGCTTATACAGAAGCAAAGGGATTTGGCGGATAAAGCCGGTGTATATATCCATGAACAGGTGTGATAACCCATTTACAGGGTCGAACCCACATTAGCCCAAGGCGGTCAGTCCGAGTTAATGATTCCTCCATGAGGTTTGGCAAGGCTGCACAGCTGGTTCACCTAGAAGCATGATTGCGCAACAACCTCTCAACGCCTTTATCTCTCGACCATGCAGACAAGCCATCGTTCGACTGGCTTTTATGCTGTTCTGCGGCAGAAGCGTCTTCTTGTCCCACCTTCGCTATGGACGTCGCGCCACCTTGATATACTGGGATGCCAGTTCCAAGAGATACGCTCCTTGCCCAGTTCTGGTGCCGAGTCCCACACGTCTAGTTTATCCTCTGTCGACCCCAAATTGAAGGATGACTCAGGTAGTGATGCTGCACGTCTGGCAAGGTCTGGTGCTGTTCTTATCAAGCTGTTCACTTTGGTCAACATCCTTGACTATGAAGGTAGCCCTTTAAAAACACGGAAAACGTAAGCAACAATTTACTACTGACCACACGTACGCAGTGGATTCGACTTACCCGTTCCCTAAGCAGTGGAAGAATCAACTTCTATTTCGCCGGTCGAGTTGTCCATCGCCTCGAATGCGCCACTTTCTGGCGCGGTCTTCAAGATACCCAGTCAGAGCATAGTCCTGCCGACCTCTTAGTTGGATACTTCAATTACAACGATCGGGCAGGATACCGCCGGGAATGTGATCAGGAACGGCGAGCTCGGCGCCTGGGACACACGCCAGTGGCCCATAGGTCAGCCGGCGAAAATCGGCTCCTTACGAGAGATTGGAAGAGTGATCCTTATCTGGTCTGTGTGCTCTTGTCTCTCGGGCAGCTGCAGCGGCGACTGTGCCACCCCAAGCACCAGAATACCTACGCTGTAAGTCGTGAATACCACTTAGGCCTGTCTTGCCGACTCGAAGGCTAATTCTCATGTCACCAAGTCACATCTCCTGGTAACAAATGCTTCAGACAGCCAATTCATATATCTTTACGAAATGCAGATTCCCAACGAGATCCTCAGGGCCCTTGACACCCCAAATACCGCAAACTGCGTCGAATGGCCACCGATCCGACGCAGTAGGATTCCCTTTCAGCCATATGACACCTTCCGGCGCCGACTCGAAGAAGTATTGCTGAAAGAGGGATAGAATGACAGTCCCTTTCACCAGGAAAATCTGGCTTGGGTGCCGCTATCCGTACAGCTAACTACATACTAACGAGCAAATCGCGGGCAACTTGGAACGGGACCACCCTGATGAAAGGACACAAATTGTAACGTTGACTCCACACGCCTGGTATAATACATGCCCCAACCTTCGCCGATGGCTAATGCTTTTGATGACAATCTTTTTAACGTGCGGAAATGATTCCTATCGTTTTGCACGTCTACTTTCCCTTTCTCTTTCTTGAAATCGAGCAAGATACTGTCGCCGTAGCCCCGGGGATGTGCCGGCAGCCCGAAATCACATTGCTCAATAATAATCCTCTCCATCGTTAGTAAGCCTGGTCTTGTATTGCTTTTGCCTAGACGAGACTGTAAGGGCATGTGGTTCGGTGGAAGGAGAACTAATTGAGATGTAGCATATCTAGGAGCCAAACCCAGTCCAGGACCACATTCATCAACAGCATTTAGTTGCTGCAAATGTAACTCCTATGCTAGGTGGGGTTTTTTTTTCTTTTTTTTTTTTTTTTTCTTTCTCCCTTGGTTGATCAGTTTTATTGTTGGGGTTTTATCATGTTTCCAGAGTAGCAGGTAGAAACTCACCCTCGTTGGCGACTAATTCCGGCACCCCGACCAATTTATATATCTCTGGCAGTGTCGCAATACAACCTTCTGTGGTGTCGCAGGACTCCTGAGTCTTGCTATGCGGCATTACGCGCTGGTGCAACGCTATCCCACGCAGCAGCAGCAGCAGCAGCAGGGATCTGGGGCCGAAGACTCCAGCGAGTCAAGGCAGGATCTGGTGGCTATGACTCGTTTGGAGTCGGTCAAGGACCGGCCCTCGGTTGTATCTTTCCATGGATCTTTATATATATATAAAAGCAGAAAGTCAAGCGGTATACTACATAGTAGATGATAACTCTCTAGAACATGTTTTTTCAACTGATGAATAGTCTCCAGCCAAGCCGTCATGTGATTTATAACAAGCCGGCAAGTTTCTTAGGCTAAACATTACCCCGCCACATCCTCCTCGATTTCCCCTCATTCAACTCTGGCTACTGCTTTTCTTCCTTTGTTCCTCTTGCATGCGTCGCCACAATCGCCATCGCCAATAGAATTGCTCGTCCAGCGTAATCATGCCTGTCTTCCACGTCGGTGCGTCTCATTCCTGTCATTTCCATCAGATCGTTGTACACAATATTCACATGTCAGCTAGTCCTCTTCCGCTTGAAGCCAGGTGTTGCACCTGCTGAGCTCGAGGCCTGGGCCCGCTTGGGTAAAGGCATGGTTGGCAAAATTCCAGGTCAGTACTTACCACGACAAATGTGATGACGACCAGGACACTCATACGTGAAATCTTTCTAGGACTACTGGAGTTCCATGCCAACCCACCGGTGGCGATGACCGCCTCCCGCGCCAAGGGCTACAATATGGGCTTGGTGGCTATCCTGGAGAAACCGTCCGATTTGCAGGTCTATGCAACTCATCCAGCTCACCTTGAGTAAGTCTACCTAGAACTGTGGAGACCTCAGTCGGGAAGTTGGTAGTAGCTAACGGTCAATCAGATTGCATGAAATGCGCGAGCAATTATGTGAGGATACTTTGGCATACGATCTGGAGTACTAGACTTATCTCCTAATGGGGCTGGCTCAATAAGTCGGTGTGTTCTAAGTGTTCTGCACCCCGGGGCTATCTGTTGGGACTGTCATGGGCTGGATGGTCATAACCAAGCTTATCAACATCTTTTGCTTACCTACCAGCAAAAAGTCTAGTGTTCTGCACCTTTTGTGTGTAAATCTTTATTGATCTCGGAATCCGGATGGATACATCACGCTTCTGGGACGTAGGGACGGATGCGGTAATGGGGAGAACAATACCGCAGGAAGCTGGCATATAATTTCTCCATATGTTCTACAAGGTCCACGTCCTCAATGCAACTGTGCCCACAATAGCTAGAATACGCGACTTCAATGGTGCGATTCCTGTATGCTTTTGTTCTTAGTGCGGATATAACAGCCCGAAAGATCCGGGGGTAAATGGCACACCTCAACCCCCAACGCTGGCCAGATAAAGAGGACCATCGGGACTGTATCAATCTGACAGTAAATTGCCAAGGCTACGGGGGCACAGCTGCTCGTTCAAAGCAAACGGTAGAACCTCGGGATTGTCGATCGGGGAGAGTACAAGTCCCATCCTTGATATGATCCTAGAAATGACTCATTAATTGGTATCATATAGGTTTCGCTTCTGTCAGTACCTCGATTTTACTGCCAAATAAGTGCCGGTGTCTTGTTGAGTAGCCGTAAATGTGACCACCCCATTACTGCCCCTCCAAGTATCCTGTCCTCTTATTTCGATAAGCCTGTGAACAATATGGCTTTTCACAGAAATGGTTGCTTACCATACGTATGCAAGGATGGGACCAAAATCTGCCTGGACAGCTGGACGTGGGATGGGCAACGTCCGGGGGCGTGGGGGCACCAGGCTGGGGTGGAATCTGGGGTTAGTGCGGAGAGTCGGACTTGGGCCGAGTTCTCCAGTTGCTACTGCATCAGATCCCCATTGGAGTGCCGGATGGGCACACCTCAGCTATTGGCTGTTAAGCTTTGATCGACGCGGTAAGCCTGGGCAGACCATTTGATGGCTGTAGGCTTACTCCTTGCCCATGACGAAACACAATGCGGGGAAACTCATGCTCCCTGCCATCGATGCAGTATAAATACAGGACCACTGCATGGCGATAGGGTTTGTTCAAAGGAGCAAGAATGTTGTCCCTACGAGGAAAGCCCCTGGTCTATCTGGTCACCGTCGTCAGCTCGACCGGCTTCTGCCTGTTCGGCTACGACAATGGCTTGATGGGCCAGGTCATCTCAGAGCCTAACTTTCTCAACATGATTGGAAATCCAGATGCAGCTGTGCAGGGGCTTGCGGTATCGTCCTATGACATCGGCTGCATGCTAGGGGCATTGGCTGCCGTGCTTATAAGTGAGCAAATTGGGAGGAGACGGACGATCTTGCTAGCTTGCATTGTGCACATTGTGGGAGACGTCGTGAACGCCTCTTCCTTCTCCCTCGCCCAACTGTTAGTGTCGCGTATCATCCTTGGGGTTGGTCTCGGGCTCTTCACTAGCGCTTCCCCAGTCTGGCTAGCTGAGACCGCTACGGCCCAGATGCGTGCTGTCATGGTGGCCGTGCAGCTGACCTTCCTTATTATCGGCACGAACATTGCCTACTGGGTCGACTATGGACTTGGCTTCCTTGACAATGAGATCAGTTGGCGCGTGCCCTTCGCCTTGCAGGCCGTCTACCCCATCGTCGCCTTTGGCTTCACCTTGGTGCTCCCCGAGTCCCCTCGATGGCTTGCTTCCCACGGCCATACTGAGGCTGCCGCCGCTGCTCTATCTGCATTCCGTGATCTCCCCGTGGACCACGAGTTAGTCCAAGCTGAACTGCAGGATATTGCTTCGGCAATTGCCTTGGAATCAGACGGCGGATCATGGGGGAGCTTGTTCCGCCAAGGTCCTAGCAAGGTGCGTACGCGTGTTATTATCGCTTGCGCGGCCAACTCGATGCAATCCTACACCGGGATCAATTTTGTGGAATATTACTTCCCTTTTATCTTGACGAATTCGGTCGGACTTGGTACCAATCTCGCGAACCTTGTGTCAGGCTGCTCACAGATATGGTTCCTCCTATCATCCTTCGTGACGTGGTACTACATCAACAAGTTGGGCCGCCGCCGACTGTTCTGCCTAGGAAACCTCGGGATGGGGTGCTGCATGATTGCGGTTTGCATTACTCTGTGGAAAGACAGCCAAGTGTCGGTCATCATCACTGTCGTCTTCTTCTTCCTTTACCTCTCCTTCTTCACGTGGGGATGGATGTCCAACATGTGGACATACCCTGCCGAGATCCTACCACTGCATGTGCGGAGCAAAGCGCTGGCGCTCTCCGTCTTCTTCCAGTGGGCCAATCAGTTTTGGACGGTGGAGATTGCGCCCGTCACGATCGACAACATCGGCTGGCGGACGTATATTATTTGGGCTATTCTCAACTTTGTTTGCTGTGTGATTGTGTATTTGTTCTTTCCGGAAACGTCGTCCCTCACGCTGGAGTCAGTTGACTTTCTATTTTCGTCATCCATCAACGTCCGCGAAGTGGTCGCACGCAGCGAGCAGATCTATTTGAATCATTCTCATCTCGATGTCGGAGCGGCGGCCGCTGCAGCGGTGGGCGGGGATGGCAAGGAGAAGTCTTTGGAGGACGGGGTTGCACAAGTGACACACGTCGAGAGACACGTAGCGGTGTAAAGTGTGTATTCCACAGTCCAACAACTGAAGAAGAGTTATGCGAGCTCTGAAAGCAGAAAAGATATTTTTGGGAGTATGTATCGATCATAATGTTTACTGGAAATTGTCGTTTACCTTGTCAATAGACTGGTGGAACTTGGATGAGTATCGGATGACCGGACGGATTCTGCAGTACAAGACACTGGTAGCTCGAGTAGCGGGTCCTTTTGAGCATAATCATTAAGACCGGTTATCAGTTCCCTGAGGTTTTTAACCTAGTGGCATTTTAACAGGCCCTTCTTACGGGGAGAGACCGCCACAGCGACCGTGCGGATCACCCGCATAGACCACACAGTCAGCATCATTCTTCGCGTTCTGTTATCTCGGCCGGTTTATGTTACCTAGTACGTAGAAATGTTAGGACCGCAATTGTGGCAAATTTTGCATAGCTCACTGAGATCGTCTGGAACAGGGGGCGGATGTCTCTGCCTGGACCAACTCAAACCTAGCCAGTGTTCCCCTGTCTATCCGTTGATCGCGGACTGGATTATTGGCGCTTTTCCTTGGTTCACTCACGGGTGCCTCTTTCGGCTTGGAGACCAGGCTGCAAGGCTGGAGTTATTATTCATCCTGTACTCTCGATAAATGAGATCATAATAAAAGCTATAAGTGCGAGCCCGATTTAGATCCTGATTCATAGCTCCATATGTTTGTTTCCCACTGCCTCTCCTAGAAGAGGGGATGCCTGAAATTTCAATGGCCATACACGTCATGATGACCTCAAAGTGCAGTGGATCCCCCGGCTTGGCCATAAAGCTTGGCACCCAGGGCCACGATGCTTAGCCGGGGAGATTTACCCAGCCTTATGATCCTACTGTGTTCTAGAAGGTTTTCTACTTGAATGTTACCTTCTCATTACCCTCAACCATGGCACCCGTGCGGTCTGTTTCGTCTTCCTTTCCTTCTGCATCTGTCGACATGCCCGCTGATGACCACCCCAGATTTCGCCATGACCCCAGCTGGTCCTATCACCAAGGAGTAGCCGGTTCGATGCTCAAAGCTTTCCTCCGTACCTTTACTGCCCTTCACATGAAATGGCCGCTATCTCTCAAGCCACACCACGAATCGGATCGATTCGTGTTGATTAACCCTGCCGCCCCGGAATGTTACACCGGAGTGATGGTGGATGAAGCTGTCAAACCCGAGACCATCGGTGCCACCTGGTATCCTGAGCCCTTTACTCGCGGCACCTCTCTTCCGGATGGCGAATATGTTATCTTGCACCTCCACGGTGGTTCTTACATTCTGGGTGACGGTCGCTCCTCCTCCTGTAACTTTATGGCCCAGACCCTCCTCGAACAAACTCCCGCCAGCTACATGCTCTGCCCCCAGTATCGACTCGCCTGCAACCACAACGGACGGTTTCCCGCTCAACTGCAGGATGCACTCGCAGCATACATGTATCTCATTCACACCCTCCAGATATCGCCCTCTCAAATCGTACTCAGCGGCGACAGCTCTGGGGGTCACCTCGTCCTGGCGCTTCTCCGGTATATAGTCGAATTTAACCGGACAGATCTGTTACCACCAAAGTGCAGCTGGGCCTGGTCTCCTTGGTGCGACGTGCCTGCCGCAGTTGACCCTAGTGCCTGGACGCACAGCACAAACTACAAAACCGAGTATATACCAGGCTCTTTTCCAGCCTGGGGAGCCAAACAGTTCCTTGGCGATTTGGAAATTACTCCAGAAGTTGAGCCGTACGTAGCTCCCATTTGGCATCCGTTTGTTGTTCCCTCGCCGGTGTTGGTCATTACCGGCGGTCGCGAGGTTCTTTGTCAAGATCACAAGAAGTTGGCACAAGAGTTTCAAAAGCTGCCCGGAAATGAGACAGCCATTGATCTGGTAGTGGAGGAGAAGGTGCCGCATGATGTGTTGATGATTGGGTGGATTATGGGGTTCAAGGATGAAGCCCGTCATTGCGCTACCAAGGCTGGGGAATTTCTCCGTCGGGTGCACTCGTCACCTGGTAGCAAGGAAGCCGATGCTCAGATGTGAATTGAGTTTGTTTCCTTATTGTATATATATCTATCCTGTACTCGTTATTCCCTTTTCTTTGCATTGCGTTGTTGATGGCTCGAGGGTTCGCTGACGTGTATGTCTATATTTCCGACGAACACTGAATTTTGGCTCCCTTCTAGTTCGTTGTCCTTGACGCCGATATTACTACCGCATTCTGTTCCATCCTGAAAACCTGTTATCCAATAGGAATGTGTAGCGATGTAAGAGGGTTAGAACAATTTGCGACCGTAGAGGAGTTGGCGTTGAATGCGATTGTATATTCTTCAATCACAGGTACAACATGATTGGCACCGTCCGTGAAAAGGTTACCATGATCAGACTATTCACTCACTCCTCTAGGAGACACAGAGTATTTGTACTACGTACTGCTTCTTATCCACGGTTACTTCATCCTCGACTAATAGTCATTAGCAACGACTCTAGGGGTGACGGGCAAAAGTAATGGTGCTCGGACAGTGCTGGGGACCTTGGGTGAATCCTCAACAGTAATAATAAAAGGACCCGATCCTTCCACGTCTTCCTTCCTACCTACACACCTCTATTTTTACCCATTTACCCCAATAGATGGCGATCATTGTGGAGGCCAGAAGGACGATTGGAGTCACTTTTTTGGAGTGAAAGTTGAAGCTTCATTGATCTTATTGAGTATGTACATCTAGTGTAGCACTGCTACATCTCTTTCCCTTTTTCACGCCTCCACTATATCCTTCTTCCCCTGCGTCGATAGACATGTTATTGATGAGTTAAAGGTTGGCTGACAACACTCCCGCCCTCTGAGCTGTGAACGTGGCAATCAGATCCATCAACGCCGGCGACAACGCATCATATGTCTCGAGGCCCAGGGAGTGGAACTTGGAGCGCACCTCCTCCATGCCCTGGGGGTGGAAGCCCTGCTCAATGATGGAGGAGACGAATCCCGCGAACTGAGGCTCCTGCCAGCCCTTCTGATCGGACAGCTCGGCGTGCACAAAGTCTAGGCCCTTGAAGGGGTGGTCCTTCTCGATGCGACCGAACATGTGCACCCCGCAGCCCTTGCAGGCATATCTCTGGATGGCAGCGGACGCGTCAACGATGGACAACTTCTCTGCGTGTTCGGTAACAGAGACGGCGTCGCGGGGAACAACTCCGACGATGGAGAACAGCGAACCGGCAGGCTTCCAGCACTTGGAGCAGCCGCAGGCGTGGTTGTGAGCGACGTTGCTGGCCAGCTTAACAACGACCTTGTCGGAAGAGCATTTGCAGTAGAGGTTACCACCGGGGAAGTTGGGGTCACCTTTGGTGATGCCGTTGTCGAGGAGAGGGTGGAGCGAGGGAGACATGTTGGATGGATGGGTTCTGAAGGGTATGCGACCGTGAGGAAGATGGATGATTGAACTGGTAGAGGATCGGGATGCCAATGATTGCCTTCTCTACCATTTTTACTCTTCTATATAGGCCAGGAAGAGCAGGGATGTTCCCCTCACTCTGTCGCAATCACTAACCCTCCATCCCCTCATGCGGGGGGAAGTGAGGGAACGCGTCGGCGAGGTTCCCGGCCCTGACCGTATTGGCATCAATCATCCCTTGTTTTCCCACGGGAAAACATTACTCGACTGGGACAGCGAACACGAGCGACTCCTACCGGTGGAGATATGTCGAGTCGGACCGATCGCGACCGAGATTTCCACTGACTCAGGAGCGATGAGGACATTTGGGATAGAGCGATCGCAAGGACCACCGGGCGATGCAGCCGGTTCACACGGTTCGCCTTCCCGAGCCATCTTCTGGCCTTCCCCCAAATCCTTCGGAAAAGCCGCCCGTATCCCCATCGTTGCGTTATCCAGGGATATCAACCCTATCAGCAATTGTCATGTCATTTTCGAGTGATATTTGCAAATTTCTCCCTTCTCCCCTTTGGATATTGTTCTTAGATAGAGAATCTCTTATTGATAACATATGGCACATGTTTACTCCCTACTCGGACATATACCAAGGCCTGAATACGATGGGTGCCATTTTCCCTTCATGAATCACTCCCATATTTACTCTACATACCTACATTAACATTTCATGCTCCAATGTAAGAGGTACTAAGACTGAGAGATGATACTACAAGGTCTGTCCATCACCACCACCACAGTGACGCGCCCGCCGACCGCAACTAGTCAATGAAGTGTGGGAGAATTGAAGAGATTATCGAAGTCTTTGGCAGTGGTGCCCTGCCCGACTGCAGTATCCAGGTTAGTACCAGACTCTTAAAGACTTAGGACTGGATGATGAGCAGGATAATAGAATGGGCTTTTCGTCGCCGCGACTATACCCGCTCTCCGACGGGCCCACAGCGTTGCGAATGTCGAGCATGTTGTCACTCAGCCTTGCGCGATCGGCGGCAAGAGTTCCTGTGTGATGCTCTACGTCGAGTGTCACAAGATGGAGCTGACTCTTGAAACGATAGTGTATTGTGGACTGGAGACCGACATTGAGCTACGAAGGTTCCGACCTGGCTTTTCCCGTCAATTAGCGGGACGGTGCGCCAGCAGGGAAGGCTTTGCTCAAAAGAGCCTGAATAAAACCTACAACGAATTTGTGCTGGATGGTAGAAATTCAAAAGAAAGGGAATACACCGAGTCAGGGATATGGGATGGAACAATGGCAGACTATGATAGTTTGCTTTGTAAGTTTGGACTTGTGAGATGGTATGATCTCCGTGGGTGCGCGCAGCAATGGAGCGGGACGGCGATGGCGATAAAGTTCGACCTCCCTCTCCACCATCTCGATGATCCGACGCATCGTCGGAGGGGACGGTTTCTTGAAACGGCTGGGAGGTGGGATCCCAAACCTGCCACTGGAGCTATCCCCAAATTATACGGAGTAGTCCCCCACCTGTCCAGTAATTGGGCCTTATCTGCTGGCTCCCTTTGGTGGCGCGGAGAACGGGCCGGGGTAGTGCTCTCCCGTGTGCGCTGAAGGCGAAGGGATGATCATGGTCTCCTCGAGCTGACACTATCCGCAGTGGGGGCCTCATCGAGGCTGCCATCAGACAAACGTTGTGAAACGCTCGGAGCAGGTTGAACCCCACGAGGCTAAAGTAGATCGGCCGCGACGGCGCGGCCAGCGTGGTGCCAACCAAAAGGCCACAGCGAGACTGAGTGGATATTCCCCCTCTTCTGAACGACGAAATGGATCCGATGCCTTGCGGGCACAGACGGCTGTTCCCGGAGAACATAACGAATGGCCGAATTGGATGTGAGGACCCGTCGCCAATGGGATTTTTACCGAATGGCTGACGAGGCAGCTGAGCAAGCCTCTGCGAAATATCTTGCCTGCAACCATGTACACTCGTTGCAGGAAGACATGGATTGACATGCAGGGCCAATGTGCAACTGCAGAAATGTCATCGTGCAGATCCCTCAGCCAGCATCAGCTGCACATAGCCCCGCAGAAACCCCTCTTGCAAGCACCGGCTTGGTCAGCAGGCCAGGTCGGCTTAAAAGAAGTGTCAGAGGTTGAGAGGTGTCTGTTCTCTCCGGCCAGGTAGCACATCGTCTGTGTTCACTGGATAACATGGGTTCAATCTCACAATCGACCGGGGAGATTTACCGGCCCACGCCTGCCGACATTACTATCAACAACCACCAGCCAGGTGACCCCGAGAAAGTTCTGTTCAAGAATGTTCGCATCTTAGACTCTACAGGCAGCCTCCCTTACCTAGGAGACGTCCTCATCCAAGGAGAACGCATCGTGGCTGTAGGACAGGTTGATGAGACAGCCTCAACAGGGGCCTTGGTGATCGATGGAGGCGGCAGCCAAACGCTGATGTCGGGCCTGGTTGATGCTCATACTCATCTCAGCTTCAACAATGCAAAGACACTAGACGGGCTGACCACTATGCCACTGGAAGAGCACGTCATTGCTACCGCTCACTCAGCCAAGACCTACCTCGACTGCGGCTACACCATGTGCTTCGGGGCCGCCTCAGCGCGTGCCCGACTCGACATCGCCATCAAGGCCTCTATCAAGTCTGGCCTCATTCCGGGACCGCGGACCCTGGCTAACACGCCAGAGATTACCACTACCGGGGGCGCCATCGTCCCTGACATATCGAAGTATGCAGACGGCCCGCACGAGATGCGGAAGACAGTGCGGTCATTCATCGAGCTGGGAGCGGATAACATCAAGCTTAGCATAACCGGTGACAACATCACGGACAGCATGCCGAGCGACGAGACGTACTTCACCCTGGAGGAGACAGTTGCTGCTGTGGAAGAGGCCCACAACCGAGGAAAACGAGTGTGCGCCCATGCGCGTAGCAAGGAATCTGTCAAGCTGTGTCTCCAGGCAGGTGTGGACGTGATCTACCACGCTAGCTTTAACGATGAAGAGAGCTTGAATATGCTGGAGCAGCGAAAGGACTCGGTCTTTGTGGCACCGGCCATCAATCTACCCCTTGCCACTTGTGCGGGAGATGCTATACCCTTCGGGTTCACGGTCGAGATGGCCGAGAAGAAGGGCGTCAAAGAAGAGGTGGAAGCAGCTTGCAAGTCCATGAGAGAAATGCACAGAAGAGGCATCCGGGTGCTGCCAGGCGGGGATTATGGTTTTGCGTGGGCACCGCATGGCACGTACGCGCGGGACTTGCATCATTTCGTTAAGCATTTTGGTTACACGCCAATGGAGAGTATTCTAGCGGCCACGGCCCTGGGAGGGGAGATCATGGGCCATCCGGAGGAATTAGGCAAAGTGCAGCCGGGGTATTATGCCGACGTGATATTAGTCGATGGGGATCCTCTAGCAGATATTACTGTTCTGCAGGATAGGTCGCGACTGCATGCCATCGTGATCAACGGCCATATCCACAAGAATGTCTCGGGTCCTGCTTATTGATTAGATTGACTTGTCTACATCTGGCGAGGATGTTTTCATTCACTAAAATGTATCTCTTCGGCGTGTGTAGTGTATCTACATGCTAATACTGTATCAGTGTGGTGGACTGGCCCAGATAACCATGAAGCTGAGTTTACACTAAGTCCAAGCACAACTCCTAGGGCAGAAGTTGTGCGCGTTATCCAAGGGGAAGATACCATTAGTCTTTGCACATGCATCCCAATCAACTCACGTTTCGAGTGCCACCAGAAAAATTAGCCGAGCTAATCCGACAGTTGAGGGGTTGTCCAAGTAGGTCAAGTAAACTAGCCCGATTAGCACAAGCCACGGCGAGGTGTGGGGGGAGGGGCAAATGTAAGCACTAGGAGGAATTCGGGAACAATGGAGTGCGGACACTGATACGACCAGTGTAATAATATTTCATAGAGTCGCGTACCTAGTTTGTCCCTTTGTTGGGCCACCGAGGTAGTAGCCATGCACGAGGTTGATTGCCATGGTTGCATAGGCCTTGACATATGCTTGCTTGTACGGGTCAATAAATCCATTCTTCGCCAGTGGCTGGCCAGAAACCCTTTCATTGCCAAATTGCCTTATGCCATGCTTCTATTAGGCCGTCTTAAGGTGACACTGACGGTTTTGTTGGGGTGGAAAGCCATGTTGGAATACAAGAACCAGGGTGAAAGCTTGTTTTCTGGCACATCATGTCAACCAATGTAGAGTTTTGACTGCATCAGTTCGACATTTTGGGTGTTTGACACAGCGAACATAAAATGAATCGAGCCTGGATCGCCGCTGTACAAACTTAGTTCAACATAGACTGTATTCCCACTGGTTGGCTCGCCAGCCTGTCAGACTACTGACTCAAGCGAGTCTCCACAGCTGGGCGCAGCTCTCTCATCCCCTAGCGAGATGGTCTTTCTGACTCCAATGGACTATATAATTTGCGTGTTCATCTTTCAGCTGCTCGTGGAGCCTCTTGATTTTTTCTTTATAAGCGTTGACAGGCGGCCACGCGCTCACGTGCAAGCGATACCCTGTTGTGATAACTACACCATCCTCCTACCCACCTGATTGTCATCATCGTGTTTACCTCCAATATGCCTTCCTACGAATTCCTGTCACTGGCTACCAAGCCATCCGCTAAGCTATGTTACAGCTTTCACCCCGCTGTAGGCACGGATAAGCCGGCTCTAGTCGTCTTTGTAAATGGTTTGGGGCTACCACAGACATCCTGGGAGGACGCAATCGCTCGCCTGCAAGCTCAGCCTCCCGCGGGCGGTCTGCCCGCCATGTTGACCTATGATCGGTACGGTCAGGGCCAAACCACAGACCGGGACCCTGACGACGTGAAATCTGAGGATCCCATGCATGGTCATGATACGTTGGCCGTTGTTCGGGATTTGCGTCAACTTATTACACAAATTGCTTCGGAGAAGCTGGGTGTATCCGACCTCAGTCGTCTCCCCCTCGTTTTGGTTTCGAACTCGATTGGCGGTGCATTGGTGCGTCTTTACGCGCAGGAATATCCTGGAACAGTCGCAGCGCTGCTCTTCCTAGACAGTGTGCTCGCCAATTCTGATTTTATCTCTATTTATCCTGACCCTGATGCACCGGACTTCGACGCGACCAGCTTGCCAGAGGGCGTCTCGGTGGATGCGATCCGTGATGCTCGGGCATACATGCAGCGGGTCTTTCATCCCAGCAATGGCAGCCGTGAGGGCCTCAGTCGGAAGAATTTGGCGGAACTTCTCCCAAACAGCGATGGTCCTAAATTGCAGGGTCCAGATGGTCAGGGCCCGTGGGTCACGGTTATCGGTCACGAATTCGAGGCGTTCAAGGACGAGTTTGAGAAGATGGGCGGCGCGCCTCCGAGGCTCACAGAGGTCTATATGAATCCATACTGGCACCGATTCAACGAAGGACTGGCCAAGCTGACCGACTCGGAGCGTAGCAAAGGCCCGTTCCAGGCTCCAGGGGCTGGTCACTTTGTTCAGCGGGACAATCCGGATCTCGTGGCAAATGAACTTCGCGAGATGCTTGATAACGCTTTTTGAGTTGGTGCTTCTGACTGTGCACTGGCGGGATCGGAACGGACTGAAGGTACTGCATGTCAAGTCTAGCCAGTTGGCATATCTTGATACTAGACTTGCTGTACAAATTCTTCAAAAGTAGCCATATACTTTTTATAATGAGGAATTTCGAAGACATACAAGAAGGAGAAGCGCACGAAAGATTCATTTTAGTAGATGTATCAAATATGGGGTAGGAAAGTGGATGAGGTTGGCCCAAGTAGGGGGCAGAGATAACAAAAAATCAGGCCGTGTCTTGCTACAGTGAATCTCTCGACAGGAACTCTCTGTCAATGAGAACTAAATTTCCCAATCCCCTCCTGGTCTCTGGTGCTCCGCTACCCATCCAAATCAACGGACGTGTCCAGGGCAGGACAGAAAAACCGTCATCAACTTCGAACAATATGGCCCACTAGCCAGAAATAATTCCGTGGCATACCCTCGCCTCCAACTTGTGCTGGGTCGACAGGTCTGAGTCTAACAACGACTGCAACTGTACCTGTGACTGCACAAACCTCCACCCCTCCTCGCACTGACCAGAAGAAGTTTTGTCCAACTTTACCCAGGCCATGTTTAAAGCCATCGTAATATCTTCAGACCGGGAGCGAGCAAAATATGCTGTTACCTACAACCCACCACAGGATGATACAGTCATCGTCAATGAACAAAACGCCCAGAAGATTGAAGAAGAGTTCGACTGGCGCGCCGAGGCTTTCACATTCCCTTATTCGGATCGTAAACCACTCTTACCCTGTACACTCGACATGAGAACCGGATCCGCCTTTTGCCATTCACATGAGGCTGATGACTGCAGAGAATTTCCCGAACTCGATGACTGGGGATACCTCAACGTCCAACTTGTAGTCTGTCTGATTCTCAATGGCGAGATGGATCCTATCATTTGGGCGTGTGCTTATCCTCGTGTCGGACTCAGGTCGTGGCATTGCGATTACAATTGTATTCGTGGAGTACGTCAACAGTTACCCTTCATCCTACATGATCGACTAATGGCCATGTCGTACTTTCAAAGCACTAACTCGTTATCTCGATGAGTCAGGCACATCCCGACATGAATGGAACATGCTTTACGGGAAGGCTTTACACTCCTACATTGGTCTGAATGTCGCCTATTGCCTCCCAGACACCTGGGAACCAAAAGCCAAAACGTCAGGGGGCAAACATTACCGAGATACCAACATTTGCTCCGCAAGTGCACCGCAGATGATGGAAGCTCGGATTTCATTCTCTGCATGCATCGGAAGCTCTTTGGTATCGACAAGCACAGGTTCAATATGGATAATTCTATGCGGGCGGATAAGGCCCAATGGGTGAAGGATTATTCCAGGAACTACGACGGTGCTTTTCACCCCAGATCGCTATGGGGTATCCCCCTTTGACGAGTTCCTAACCCTGGAAACCCCTGCCCTCACTTTCTTGCCTCATGAAATGGATATCAGCGAGGTGCGCTGGATTCTCTCTTACGCGGGGAAGCTTCCCATGGAGTTGGTGCTTGACATCATGGAATTCGCAGGCTACAGACCACGTCGCAGCCTGGAGGTCTTGCTTGATCCTCTTCATCCTACCAACCGCGGAGCTTTGGTTAAATATCTCGACCAATGTTAGCAGATTATTGTACGATGTCATATGATGGCCAGAGAGCTCGGGATGAACAACGTGTACTGGAAAGAGGAAGTTTTGGGGCAGGCCTGTCTGCTCTGGGATAATTATGGGTGCCCGCTCGGCACGATGCTTAGATATTGATAGCTATTTATCTCGTAGTACAGGTTCATGTGTAATTTACCGTCGATTTGACAATCCTGATAACATTCTGATGATGCGCAATAGTTATAACCTCATAACATATTACATAAGCTCTTTGTCTGATATCAACTTGGGGCAGTGTTGTAAGTTAGCTTTAAAGAATGGCAGCAATGAGGGCAGCAGCAGCTCCACCAAAGACGAGGGCGACATCACTCTTGGCCAGGGAGGCTTTGCCAGTGCCTGTAGCAGAAGCATTAACATTTGAGGCAGTAGTAGTCTTTGAAGGGTCAGTAGAGCTAGCCGTGGCAACACCGGTAGATGCGGCAGATGTCTCCGACTTTTTCCCAGTAGTAGTAGCAGCGGAACCAGTGCTACTGGCCGTCTGAGCCCCGGTTGTAGCATGGGCGGCGGAGGCAGCTACGCTCGTGACTGATCCCGCGGTGATGGTCACGGGCATCAAATCCAGATCACCATCCAGGGTGGTGCTGCTGGTTCCCGGGAAGTTGGCGCCGGACCCTGAGGCTGTCTCGGTACAGACAGCATGCGTTGTTCCGTCGACGGAGCAGACACACGTGTAGTAGCTATGCAGCGAATCATGTTAGCAATAGCCAGTTATCCGGTTGTCGACAACAATCAACTGACAAATCATCGTCTGGGGAATCCATGATCATGGTAGTCTTGGGACCCGCGATCAGAGTGAGACCGGGACCCATGCCACAATCACTGGAGTCGGTGCCGGGCGGACAGTTGATACTGTAGGTTGTCGCGGTCGCATCCTAGATCATGGTTAGTGGAGGGCGGCATACGAAGCTGATGAATACAAAGACGACTTGCATTGCCTATGATCGACGCGGCCAATGGCTGTGGATCGGTGTCGAAGATGAACATGGAGGTGACGGTGGCCTTGGCTGAGACCAGGCCGGCAGCAGCCAGACCGAGAAGGAGCGTGCGGTTCATCATGATGGGAACGAGTGACTGATTGCTGTGATGGTGAATGAGCGAGTGTGTGAATAGAAAGATGCGGGATAACGAGCGATGCAACAACGAAATAATCCAAAGAGAAAGAAAGGAAGAAAGAAAGAAAGAAAGGAGAGACTGCAAAAGAGGCGTGATGATGGCAGCCGCCTTCTCCGCAATCCAATCCTGCTCGTGATGCTGACTCTTTGAAGATTACCAGAAGAGGCAACACTGCGACCGGATCTAAACTACTTCGGGGCACGTCCGGGCAAAACAGATGCCGGCTAGTCTCCCTCGGGCAAGGTCAGAAGCCAATTCGGGGTCCAGACCCTGATTTGGGCTCCCGCTAGTCCCTGATGGTGCTTGGCGAGGGTATAACCTGGATACTGCCATATGCCTCCCCAGTCCCCATTTTTTGCAGTAGGAAATGCACATACAGTAGAATACGGATATAAGCAATTAATTGAAATCACCTCTCAAATTGCTTATAGTGGAGGATTCCTTATGCTAAAATGTATGTAAAATCGCCCAAAATTAACCAGTTGGCCAGAAAAAACCGGTTAGCTAAAATCACGTGTTCTAATGTAATTTGCATGTACTAGTCTATATATAATTATAGATATAATGTTTAACTGGTAATTTTATTATATAACTAGCTATTCAAATCCATCTTACTCTGATAAAGGCAAATTTGTCCATGAGATGAGAAAGAAATAAGTAATTATCTTATATTAAGATGTCATGTAATTTTGTATGTAAAATCAATTCAGACCAGTGAATTGGTTACTTGAATGGAGGATTCCCTTTACCGGGTGCTGCTTATAACCGTGTTTTACTGTGGTTAGCCCCTTGTTGTTCTTGCGAGGACATCTATCTAGTTTACCTGCAGACGGTGTTATTTCCAACAAGTGAGGTCAACAATGCCACACCCATCTGTCTCATGTTCAACGGACCTAGTTTCAAGGTGCAGCATGATATTATTTATATCCCAACCGATCGTCGATTGGGTTCTTGAACGACTTTGCTATGTCATGGTCACCACCTTTACTAATACCTATTTACTATTGCGGAAAGAAATATCTCACAATAATGGCTTTACAATCTACTGGAGCAATCCCGTCTGAGTGTCAATTGTACTTTACCTCCTTGGGCCTCCTATTGCTCCTAACATGCGACGTTGCGCAGCTTAAATTGCTCTATATGTACGAATTACACTACTACAGCACTGAGGGCTGTTGATATTTGTCCCCCAAAAGTCGGACTTTCAAGCCCAACCCAGTATGAAAATTTGCCAACATGGGGCAGCAGAGCCTTTTCCATCACTGCCTGCCTTTTGCATACTTACCCTCAGAGGCTTCACTTTCAAACCGGGATAGTGATCATGCGCGTCCAGGTAACCCAAGACTTCAAGTAGCAGGTCTGCGTGTCCCTTTTGGGTTCGTTGTTGTGAAAATCTTGCATAATGATCTTCAGCCACGCATTATATCTCCCTGTTTCTGACCGGCGTGTAAGGCCAAGGACATTTATGCCTGACTCAAACATAGAGAACGTCTTCACTTGTGATCTCTGGCACAATACCCACGCATTGATTTCGTGTCAAATGCTCTCGGTAGGCGAACATGTGGCTGTTCGAGAGTCCGGGGATCGACAATGATAAGAGCAACAAACCAACCAATATCTGCATTGCTGTTATTGCGCAGGATGTGTCCCCTTGTCCAGTAAGGGAGATTAAGGGAAATTCGGTCCGTCAAAACAACGTGGTCGAGGTGTCGGGAAGGGACGCGAGGAATAGCAACCTCGTGCCAAGCAACCAGTGTCGATAATTGTGTAAGGATTCCATACGTCTGCGTATGCTGATATCTTCATATGCTGATAGACGTCTGGTTCGTGGGCCGGTTCAGCAACAAAGAGTTACCAGGGCGTTGGAAGTCTTAGTCAGTTATCATAAAGTTCGGGGGGCGACGGAAGTATGACCCAGGCATTGGGCACGAACCGTTTGACCCCCGTCTTTAAATTCCGCATCTGTAATTCTGAGCCGCTGAGAAGAATCTCCAGCAGGTTAGCAGACGATGGTAATATGAGTATCCTCTACAGCTCGGCCATACCATTCTCCGAACTGCCGAGATCCACATCTATAGCCCGAACCCCCTCCGGGGTTGCGGATGTCAACCACGTCCGTGTTATACATTGACTGTGAGCGCATGCTCGTCACGAGGCCAGTGTGTAAACAGATGGGGTATTCGGAAAGTACTAATAAATTCCTCACAAATAAATGAATCCATTGTAGAAGAGACATGTTGATGAACTCTAGGAAGAGTACTTTCTGTGCTACTCTCTGTGACACCGACACAGAAGGGACCAGTATTTTAACCACCAGAAGCAAGCAAGTGGTGCCTGACGGATTTACCGACGGAACATTCCCAAGGGGTGGGACCGAGAGTGGGATTGCCGCCAAATATTTCGACTTTCGATGTTTAAGGTGGATCAAGCATAGGCCCCATCGCTGATCTCCCAAGCGGGTCTGCCGGTGGTCTGTTGTGCCGGTAGTTCATGACCCAATTACATTACAACACGGTGTGCTTAGCAAGCGTTTGCTGAACCATAGCCCCTGACTCTGATGCAATCAACGTGGAGCACCCCAATCTGCCACGTATACGAAGCGATGATCTTACCTTGAATTCTGTACCGCTTCTCCGCGTGGCACCCCTTCGGAGATAAAGGAAAGAACACGGCCAGACCATTGTTGCTGCTATCTCCGAAGTCGAGCTCGGACAACGGCAGAGACGGCAGTTGGCACTGTACTATTATTCCCACTGGAACAACAGCCCCAGACAGTGATCGAGATCGCGATGCGCCTTCTTCCTTTTTGCCAGTATTGACTCGCCCCTGAAATATTCTAGCATATGATTAATTTAGTTTGCCCTTAAACAATGACATTCAAAGTCGCCTCATTATGGTCGTAATACATTCTACTCCAATATCCTGCCTTGTTAAACTGCTACACTAGACCTGATGAGAGGGGTTTATGTTATAAGACAATGTTATTCGACATATCTATCTACATAGGGTCTATAAATAATTCTTGAGTACAGAGATATGATGACTCGGGGGCACAAGAAAGATGAGATTAGGCCGTCCCAAGCTTCTCTGCGTTCTCAAAGCCAGTGTAGCTGAAGCCGGCGAACGCGGCACCAATGTCGGTGCTACTGCCGTTGAGAGTCTGGTACAGCACGTAGGTCTGGTAGTCAAGTAGGAAAGACGAGCTGTTAGCAAGGGCAAGCGACAGGTTGGCCCTAGCGATGGCGTCGTGGAGTTGAGTGTAATTGGCCTGGTTAACCCACTCCTGGGTGGACGGGACGTTGGAGCCGTTGCTACTGATAGTCACGTTGGCTAGCTGCGCTTGGGCCTGGGCAATAGCCCTGGCGAGGAAGATGCGCGAGTTGCCGTCGCTCGTCATGCCGACGGGCGCGCCGTACTCGGTGGTGTGGGTAACAGGTACAAGCCAGAGGCTGACATTGAGGCCAGCGGCTGAATCATTGGTAAACTTAAAGAACTTTTGAGCGTCGGTGAACTCGCCAGGTCGATTGGAGATGAACAGGTTGTCGCGTGAAAAGCGCATGGCGTCTTCATAGGAGACCCCATCAATGTTGTAGGATGTGTGGTCGGCGCCGCCAACAAAGAGGCCGACGACCTCTTGGGCCCGCTTCATGGCCCAGCCCTTGGGACCGTACCAGAAGAGCGCGACGTCGCCGGGTGAGATAGTGGTGTCAAAGTTATTTTCAGGGATAGCCGGGCCGGAGCCGGCGAAAAGGTCGGCGTCAAAGTTAGTGCCCTCCCAGCGCGTCTTGTCCGCGACGTCAATATTTCCGCGGTAGATCGAGTAAGTCCCGTTGGCGTTGTGAGTGATGGTGTCGACGGTAACGCCCTCGAGATAGTCGGCATCGATGACATCGGTGTAGCCATCTCCGTTAGTGTCCCAGAAGCGCACTTCGAGGCCAGCCACGAGGTTGGTGACAACAGACAGGGCGGCAGCATTGTAACTGTCTGCTTCAGTCTCTGCCTCGTAGCCACCCCACCACTTCGCGGTGGTACTGTTGTAATACAGCCAGGCTACTTGGTTAACGAGATAGCCGTCGCTCACGCACTGGCTGACACTCTGAAAGGCGGACTCGGTGCCAGGGATGGCCCACAGGTTAATGTAGAAATCGCTGTTGGCAATGACAGATTTGACACCCTCAAGAGCGCTCCCCTGCTTGAAGTACTGGTCATACTGGGTGGCGGTGACGTTGGCAGCGTCGCTGCCCATGTCAAGCACAACAGCGCGGAGCAGCGTACCATTGATCTGGCTGCCAGAGTAGGGAGTGCCGCAGGCAGCCAGGCCAGTGGCCGGTAGCATTGCTAGAACTGAGGCATTGGCAAGTTTCATGTTGGCTACAGCTTGCAGAGTAAGGAAGGTGAAGAAGCAGAAAGAAAACGAGCGATGGGTAGGTAAAAGAGTGTGTGCTATTGAAGATTTTTGAAAAGAGTGTACATTTATACGTCACCACAGCAGAGGTACATTTACTCTTAAAACTTATCCTTCTTCCTTATAGCCGATGACGAATCCCCGTATGGTGAAATCCGGTTCGGGTGAAGCGGTGGGGCCGGTATGTGGGGACTGCAGAAAGTGAGTTAATATCCCCCCGTCTCCGCAGATTCCTCTGTTTCAATCTATAGAAGAATTATATTTCACTTTATCTGTCTACCTAGTTCTGCCGGCATAGAAGTCTGGCTATCAATTACTGGGGTATGATTTTCCCGTCCCCCGCTAGGGTTGGGGACAAGACCGAACGCACTGTGAAGATTGTCTGTGATTGGCTAAATCTCTCACAGTGGGCCTCCGAATGGAGGATCATTTCTCTATTAAGTTTAAACTCCGCTCAATTCAATTAATCTAGACATTTATGGCAGTTTCTCCCCTTCCTTTCTTATACATCCGCTACTTTACCCCGAAGACAATCATGGGCAAGGAAAACACTACATATTTCTCCTTGATACCTAGACACCTTTGCCAGCAGCTGTACATGAAGTAAGATAGCATCGGCCATACTGTTTAGGATGAACCTAATAGGAATAGTACTTCATGAGAAACAATCAAGAATATATATCCTATGTGTCTTAAGAGTACATCCAGTAGCCTATAATCATAATTTAAAACATATTCAAATATCCTGATAGTACGGTACGATGTTCATAAGCTATGTTTCAAGTCCTTCCTCTGTCCGAGTCCACCTTATTGTACCAAACAAGCTAGTATATCTAGATAACCAGTTTATAGTAAGGATCCGCCCCGAGCTGTCTATCTGAAGCTAGGCATACATGACTAGAGATAACTTGGGCAATAGGTCCGTCGGACTTTTCACCTGCACTGGTGGTGATACACTGCATATGCGACGCAATTAGGAGTTGCTATCGCCGATGACCGTTCCATTGGTCGCGGCCCCTAACGGCTATGAATGAGAACTGGCGGCAGGCAGGACAGCACTTTTACTCGCGCAAGCCAGGAGTAATAACGAGCTGATTGATCATGACCGAATACCCCATAAAGATCTGTAGAGGTGAGAGTTTGAAATGAAATTAGTATGCGCACCAAGTTTTAGGCGCACAGTAGTATTTCGAAAGGTTACATTCACATTTACATACACAAGATTGAAGCTAGAATTCACGCCGAACACAACAAGAGAACGCTTTAAATTTATTATATCCGCATAAATACCAGTGGATGTTCGGCTCTACCGGAGATAATGATGGATTGCTCAAGGGATTCAGTTCTTCTTTGTAGGTGTCGTGGGTCGATGCGGGGACATAGTGGGCCGACGGTGTCAGTTGTAAGAGGTTTTATGGGGATATGTAACGGCCACATAGTTCAAAAGTGTATCCGATTATACGATCTCTGATTGGCTCGTCGCACATTCCTTTCCCGTATGATAGATGGCAGTTAAACTAACCTCCAGTTCGTCACTCGGAAAAGCGAGAGGTAACGATACAGGCGTTGTACTCTGAATCACACTAATACACCAACCGGATATGGTATACACAAGCATATCCATACCAGAGGAAACATGTCTTACAATATTAGTCCTTCCTTTCTTAGCAGTAGTGTTCATATCAAAGCTGGTCGAGTAAAACAATTAGAGATAAGTTCTTATACATAACTAGTGTGTTCCCTTATGACGGGTGTCAAGTTCTATGTGCTTAGTCATCGACTTATATTTAAGTTTCTTCATGATTCATGGATGCCCATACCAATCATGACGTTTGGGCGGAAGAGCGGAAGTAGCCAGATCTATTGAGATTTGAATTAAAATGAAAGGCCTGGAAATAGGCGGATGTCATCATGTAAACATTTAGTTAGCCACTATGAATAAATGCCAATAATGATATCTGTATCTTGACTATCTCCAATTCTTGTTTCTTCTTTTGCATTAGAGAGCTACTTGGGCGCTAGAAAGAATTACATGAGCAATTTGCATTTGCCGATTCGCATTTTGTACCCGCCCTTGATGCATCATACACCATTACAATTCTGCAATGTGAATGGGCCGTGACCAGGTTAAACCTCGGCTCCATGAGGCAATAAGAACTTCTGAAATTAGCAAAGGCAGCATAGGGTTTTCCGCTGAGCATACCAATTCTTCGGAGATAGCAATGTAGAGCAGCATGTTTGCCAAAATAAAGGACAGGGGACGCGTCATGGATCGAAACGGTGCTTCTATGCCGCAAATTGCACGAGCTGCGTTATGTCAAGGCCCGCCAGCTATATACATATAAAAAGACAATAGAGGGAAAGAATTAGATAAAAAGAAGAACAAACTAACATAGCAACTGATGAATAATCTTGTTATTGAACTGTTCGAAACGGCTTTCGTTGGATTTGATCTGAAGGGGCCCAAGGGTGGAATTTGTGTCTTGCGGCGTCTTGAAACCCTTCCATAATGACTTTTTGCGGCCCCACAATGCAGGCATCCGATGGAACTGATAGGCACAACAGCAGCAGCCTATAACGATGCCTTACAGCCCTGTAATATTGTTAAAATATGGACTCAGAGTGATGAGAGGTCACAAAACTTTTGACATAAAACGAGACGACAATGCGCCAATATTTCATCAAGAGATGATCATCTCAGCAGTGAAGAACAATTCTCTCCATTGATGAGTCATCCTACCACCATCCTTGCCTGGCCTCAGCTGGGGCTATATATCTTCACCTGTGCAGAGACTATAAGTCCATTCAATTCTATGTAAGCTGCCGAACTAATTCCAACCATTTACCGGCTGATATATCGCGCCCATCTATCAGCGAACACACCCTAAATCCTTTCGCCGCTACGTACATATAGCATGGATTGATAGGCTGCGATTCACCTCAATTGTGATAGTAGCTGCTTATTCCCTTATACCATACCATGAACCATGAAACTCATTATGGTCAGGCTGCCCTTCACTGGATGGCGTCTTCAGGATGGCTATATATATTGCGCTTCCGCAGCTCTCTTTTCTTCTCTATCTTCTTCCCTTCATTGTCTACCCATCTCAGTGCAAGGAGCGATCGCCTCTTCAAACAGGTTAAATTATAGCCTTGTATTACCTATATATTAGCAGAAATAAGAACGTTAATGCTATCCCAGACTTATAAATGAAATTAGGCTTTATCGGCAGGGCAAGACTTGCATCTTGGTGATGATGTATCCAGTTCCCTGCAAACTTTTCAAATCCACTGATTTTGCATGCCTTGAAACAAACACGGGTAACTGATAGCCTAGTGTGATTGTGCAAGAGGGTTAGAAGAAACCAGAATGAAAAGAGACCTGCCCTACCATTGGAACTGAAGCCTGAGGCCGGTTGAGCTTCCCTACAGACAGGAGACAGGAATATTTTCGACGAGAATTAGTGATCGACACCGCAGCAGCGGCAACATGGACCAGTGAACCCAATAATCTTATTGGAACATGGTGACCCCTGGAGAATCTGACGCTAGCGCATTATTGCTGTATACATGGAAAGACATCTTCGTGAGCGACATTATTAGCAGGCCGGCGACAGACTCAAAAGAACACCACATTCCATTGTTGCCAGGAGCTATCCCGAGAGCAGCAAGTTAGTGCTATACTCATATCGCTTTATATGCAGTGCCAGAGAATAACTCCGGGGAATATATCGTAGTGACGACGTCGGAATTCGTTTGCTGTAATCGAGGGGTCTTCCCGCTGGAAGTAAGTCCGGGAGATCATCGAGAACATGGATAAGGAAGAAGAAAGCGGCACCCCCGGTGGCCGCTGTGGACCGGCATCCCCGGATAGCAGTCTTCCAGGACCTTCTGATGGAAGAGGCGTTTGAATATAAGGGCCGGACTGCGCTCGCACCAGGAATCTAGATTGGTATAACTGACACCTCCTCGCGCGGACTGACACTTACCCGCGCCACACATATAATCTTGATGGAGACCTACTGGTGCAGCTCAAACCACAAACAAATATTTGGCCAGTGCTATCAGATCGGTCAGAGAGACAAAGTCATGTTCACATATGTCTTCCAAAATATCCACATCAAATGCGAGCAACTTGCTCTCAAGAAGCATTTAGCACAATTAGCACTGGAGAAGACAATAGACTCCTACAACCGAAAATGAACAATTTTTTCCCCCCGTGGGGAGGGGGGCGGGGTCGTCACGCCTTCCTGAATACTACATGCCTGAAATGCAATGGTTACTGCAGAGGATTACTGCAATAAGCGGGCGGTAAAACCGGAAGAGCTATCTGGCGAGCATAATCCTGAGGATGAAGATGATTTCTGCCTCAGACCAATTTCTCTGGCCATGATATGTGCTGATCCAGTCAGGTGTATGAATCACGGGTTTTCCCTCGTTGCGGGGTAGCCAAAGTGTGGTTAGGGTAAGAATATACTTATTGGATACTACCCGTCCAGTAACGAGCAAAACAGAGTATATGAGCTTAGAGAGAGAATATCATAATTTTATTAGGTATTACCTCCCCCCAGCCTACACTTTCATCTAAGGAACTCAATGCTGGTGGAGGTGCCATCCTATTTCCACTGCGCGTAATGAAAGTCTGCTGGATCTAGACAGCGCTGCCGCTCTCCAAATGCATACAATCCCAGCATCATGCCCGTAAAAGCCACTCCCACGGGTGGTGCTGCCATCATACTACTATTGTCGACTTCGCCAATCCACTGTATTGCATCATTCGGCTGGTCGTCGCTAAGTTCCTCAAATCCGAACCGGTAGCTATCTCCGCACTCAATCACCAAGCGAACATCCGACTGGGAATGACGAAGACCGAATTCGACTACCTCGCCTCCTGGAGAACGTGACCGAACAATACGCTGGCCATCTTTCCCCAAGCGAATCCCGATGCTGCTGTATGTGAAATAGGTCCACCACACCACTGCACCAGCTTCGCATACCTGGTTTCTCGGGTGGAAGGACAGTCGTGTCTCCCACGTACAGAACCGATGGGTCTGTTTGCGAAGGAAGAGTGTTGGGCACGCTGGAACGGATAGATTGTATGGACCACCGTAGAGGCGAAGGTAACCTGGTCGCTCGGTAAGAGAGTAGTCACGCACAACTGGTGTGTTCTTGCGATACCAGCCAAGCTGCAGCTCGCTGTTTGAAAAGTCATCACGCCATGCGACTGGAACTGAGAGCTCATAGAGGTGGGGACTGTCGGAATGAAGGGGGATTTTCTGGCCACCATTGACAATTGGCCAGTCGTCCTCCCAGTCTACTGGAGCTAGGAAGGTTTCGCGGCCTGTGATTAGCATTAGCGTACTGTGCGCAACATAGCACTGGAGAAGTACTCACCAAAAACAGATTCCTCCCACTGGCCATCCTTCCAGACCGGACGTACTCCTAATAAAACAGCCCACCACTGCCCCTGCGCATCTTCGACTAGATCCGCATGTCCAGTATTCTGAACGTCATCTTCCACTCCATTTCGCCAGAGAGGATTATTCGGCCCAACCTCCCACGGCCCAAACGGACCGGTAGTACTGCGACTGACCCATTCGCAATGGCCGCTCTCAGTGCCACCCTCCGCAGTGAAAAGATAGTAGTATTTGCCGCGTTTGAAGATGTGCGATCCCTCCGCGACACCCGAGGAAGATTCCCTGATCAGCTTGGGCTCGGAAGTAGAGGACCCTGTTTCCAAGTCTACGCTGACGATGTGGACGGCAAAATCTTTAATATTTGCACCGGGTGTTCGCTCAAGCTTGCGATAAGTGCTTGAGAGGTAGACGGTGCCGTCGTCGTCCCAGAAGAGCTACACCACATGTTAGCTGTGATTGATGGGAGGCGGATGGGGCGTCTAACATCCTGATCAAAGCCAACCTGGTCGAAATACACCGGCTCCGACCACGACTTCGAGTCCCAGATATCTGTGGTCTTCACGTAGAATCCCCGCGGCCAGACCCGGTCATCTTCCTGAGGCCGATAACGCTGGAAGGAGGCAGCGAGGATGTAGAACACGCCGTCGTGATACCGCAATGTTGTAGCCCATACACCACCACCTGGCTCGGGGGTCTGGATCTGAAGTTGGCTGGGATGGGTGAGGGCATGTCCAATCAGGGTCCACTGGATTAGATCGGTGCTGTGGTAGATGGGGGCACCGGGGAAGTATTCGAATGAGGATGTAACGAGGAAGTAGTCCTTCCCAACCCTGATAATAGAGGGATCGGGATTGAATCCCGGTAGGATGGGGCTGATGTACATAGTCAATATTGGGGTGGGAGAGAGATCGTGGGGTAGTGCTGCCATGCGGGCTATTTTATGTTTGCTGAATGAGTTGTAGATGATTGGTGGAGAAATACGGGAAGTGGCATGCAAATGAGGAGGCTACTGCCGAGGGGATTTTAGTGTCGAGTGAGGTTCTGTATTATCATGTGCGGTCTACTAAGAGATCCCTACGAACATGCTCGGTGTTCTCGTTTTCTCTTTCCGTCATAAGCATTAGCAATAAGACTTCTTGGGGGTTATTCGTCGCTACGCCGTAGTCTGCCGCCGACGCAGCCAACAAGGCCAGCCATAGGGAACAGCCGTGAAATGGGTCTCAAAACGCCATGACTTCTTGGGATCGACCTGCTCAATGTCAAAGTCGCGGATGATAGTGGCAGAGACCTTGGAGATCTCAAAGTGGGCCAGGTTCCGACCGGGACATTGGTTGTATCCAGCTCCCCACTATGTCTGTAGTCAGTACACTGCAATGCGCCCTGTCTGTTTAAAGGCAAGGAACTTACGTGGATGAGGAATGGGTCCATCTGTCTGGCCCTTTCAGGGTCAAGCCATCTTTCCGGGTTAAATTCGTCACAGTCAGGTCCGAACAGCTCTGGGTTCCGATGGAACGCCCAGGGGTTGATGCTGAGTAGTGTCTGTTGCAACAATGTTAGTATGTTTGCCATCTATGGAGGTTTATGACTTACTCCTTCTGTGAAATGGCGTTCGCCAATGGTTAGACCACCCGCCGGGACGACACGAGGCAGCCCAGTGCCGGTAGCCGGGTGATAGCGATAGGTTTCCTTGATCTGCACTCATCAGTATGGCGATCGCGATCGAAGAAGGTCACATACGCAGGCCTGGAGGTAGGGCAGCTTTGCTGCCTCAGCATAAGATACCACATGCGACAGATCACCCCGAGCGTGGGCTTCATCCACCTCCTGACGCAGCTTCTGCAGGTAGTGCGGATGGCGGAGCATGTAATAGAAGAATGCCTGTAGCGTGGCACTCGTAGTATCAGCGCCGGCGCCAATATTGGCGACAGCAGCTCCAAAAACCTCCGCCTCGTCCATGCGATCGGGATACGTGCGGCGCACATGCAACCAGCGCTCCATCATATCCAGTCTGACGGCGGGGTTCTTCTTTCTACTATCGATGGCAGCCAGGCAGGTGTCGAAGATATGCGAAGAGGGTTGCAGACCAATTCGACTGAGCAATGGGTTCCCCAAGGTGAGATTATGTAGCCACACGTAGTGCCCCATGATGGCGATGTACAACGCCAGGGCGCGAGTATTGGCGATGGCATTGCGGATATCGGTGCCCGTCTCGAGGAACCGGAAAGGGCTGGAGAAGGTCACTTCACCGACCACATCAAAGGCAAAGTAGTTGAACCAGCGATCGAACTCCACTGGTTGCCCAGATGCAATCAATTGATCGAATTGATTCTCGAGAAGTCCCAGAAGAGCATCCACGTAAGGCTCGGACTTAATAATGTTTGACAGGGCATACCCCGGCGCTACATTGCGGGACTTGCGAATGTGGCGCTGGGGATCCAGTTCTGACATTTGATTCACATAATGATAGTCTGGCAGGCTAAAGATCGAGTACCACGATCCCTAGAGTTACTTAGCGTGGTGAATCGCATACGGGGATAAGTTACTCCGTGAATATACCTTGGCGATGTTGGCATGAAGCAATAGGCGCACCGCATCAGGATGGGCGACGCTGACCTCATTGTCGGCGATGCGAACAAAACTGCCTGTTCCACCTATTAGTAAATAAATTGTGTAATGGCGAACCGGTGGAGATGCACGGACCATATCGGCGATGAAGTTTCACGATCTCCTGTTCCGTGTGGCCCTTGATCAACTGGTACACCTGCCAGAGGCTCGAAATTGAGGCCAGCCAAGGACCAGGAATATCCCGGATAGAAGTTGCATAGCGCCTTTTCAGGGCAATTACCGCAAGAAGGATAAGCAGCAGGAAAGGCACCGAGACTGGCAGGGATGCCAGATTCCCAGGGATCCAGACGGGTGCAAACAGGACGGTCATGTTAGGTCCTGGTGGGTGACCAAGCATCTCCCCCGAATGCGAGACACAAATTGAGTCAATCCTTGGCTTGCTATTTGTATTTTCCGCGTAAACCCTTCTCGGGGGTGACTTGCAATGGAGGAAGGATGCAACGCACCGGTGCTGCTTAGTGTTGCTGCTAACGCTGCGCTAACGGCATTCCGCGGCCGCTATCTGATTTTTTTTCTGCAATGCGCAGGATTGAGGCGTTCAGTTGTAAGCGAGCAGCTTCACTATGATGGTTTCTCTTCATCAGCAGAACAGGCATGAACACTTCATTCATTCAGTACGATGAAAAGCAGCACTCATTAGCTTTTTGCAAACCATCCGCACGTTTGGGATACACATGGCAGTGACATGAAGCAAGGCCCACCCTCGGAGATGGCAAACGTCCAGTGGAGAATCGGGACGCCGTGGCCAATTGTTCCCCTTGAATCAGGGCATGAAACCCGGCACTGACGGGGCGGGTGGAATCGAAGCGAGCTTCTCTTCGTATCCAGCAAATCATGTATGCTCAATATCAATAGCGTTCCCACCAAGGATCCATGACGTGAAAGGATCGAGTGGACCCAGGTGTCACCAGCAAGGAACAAGCAACCCAACCCCCCGATCCAGGCCTTTCATAATACCCTTTGGGGTCTTGCCGGGAGACAGATTGGGTTCATCCGTCCCCAGGATTCCACTACTCGTTAATGAGGATTGTCGGCTTTTCCTCATCCTTCTGCGACGGCTCTGCAATCCTGCATTAGTCTTTTGACACCCCTGTTCCTGCAGGAAGATTCGGCAGACAAAAACCCTTCCATGTCCTAACCCACCAGATGTCTAAAGGACCGCCGTGTCTGCTTCTCTCGACGTCTCTCGCCTTAATGTAGTGGCCCTGCGTCTGCCATGGCGTCGACCAGCACACCTGACCTGACGCCCGAGTTCCTGGCCCAGGACCGACGCCCCGAGGCGAGGATCGGAATTGGAGTCGTGACGGCACTGTCTGGAGTGGTTGTCCTGATTCGAGTCTATGCGCGATGGTTCATGATTCGCAGTTTTGGCTGGGATGATGGACTCATCTGCATTGCGATGGTAGGATACTATATTGCCGCTTTGCGCACAGAAACTGACATTTCATTGTTGTAACAGTTGTTAAACATCGTCGTCATGGCCCTCACAACCCAAGTCCTCCGTTACGGCGCCGGCCTGCACGTCTGGGCTCTCGATACCGCCGAAACCCCACTGCTGTACAAATGGCTCGTCTCTGCGCAGCTCGTATACATGATCGCATTGTGGGTGTGTCGACTATCCGGACTGGCCTTTTACCGTCGATTGAACCCGATGCCTCAGTTTCAACTGTACCTCCGGATCTCGCTTGCCTTCGTCACAGCCGTCATGCTCGCCCAGGTGCTCATCATCGCCCTGCAATGTATCCCGCTCGCTGCACTCTGGGGCGGCGCTACCGGGAAGTGTCTGGGCTCGAAGACGGTTTTTATATCCACAGCTGCGATGACGATCATCTGCGACTCGCTTATCCTGCTACTGCCGGTCAAGATTGTGCTTTCGATCAAGGCGAATGCGACGCGCAAGGTTGCGTTGAGTGTGGTGTTGTGTTTTGGTGTTTTGTACGTTCACATCCTCTATTCACTTTCCTCGGTGGATACTTACTAACCCTTGAACTCTCAATTCAGTGCCGTGATGTGAGTGCCACAGTTCCAGATACAACTGATAACCCCCAACTAACAGACTCAGGACCTCCGTCGCCCGCATCATCTCCATGATCCCCGCTATACAGAAAACCGACGCAACGTGGTACTTCTCCGTCGTGATGGTCTGGTCGGACACCGAAGTCAGCACGGCCATCATCGCCCTGTCGTTGCCGGCATTGAAGGGCCTAGTCGGTGCTGTGGCGGGCAGTACCCGGAAAGGAACGGATCAGACACCAGGGAGTAATGGCGGACCGGATCTGCATTTGCAGAATGTGCCTGCTAGTGGCGACCACCATCTGTATGAGGGGCCGGATAGTTATCCCAATGAGGCGCGGGCGAGTATTGGGGATAATGCGAGTCAGGAGGCGTTGTGGGTGGATACGAATGCCGGGATTCATGTGAAGAATAGTGTTAGGGTTAGTGTGAGTGATCGATAGGTATGATTTACTGCCTGTGGGGAGGAGGGATGTTCTGCTTTTCATATGTGCTTTTTGATGAAACTTGAAGTCGTTTATATATGAATTATCATAGATTATATCTACTATGTTCTCTTCTAAACCACCCTGCAATATAGCTGGTCTATCCAAACACATCAATCACACTCCGCGGCTCGCAATACTTTCCAATCGGAACATATTCCACCTCTTCGAATCCCATCGACTTGGGCCCGCCTAACTCCATTCCCCTGGAAGTATCGGTCCATCTTGGCGAAGCCGCAATAGCCAACACCACCACTTTAAGCCCATACTTGAACTCCGGAGTGCCCAGTCCAGCTCCAGACTCCGCATCCAACACAACAATCAGATCCGGCACGGCAGCCAGAATCTTCGTCTCGCCATCTCCCAGCACTGCCTCGACGTAGGCATTCTCATTCTTGAACGGAATGTTCAGCGTCGCTTTGCGTCCATCACTCAACCGCCCATCCACCTCCAACACTCCGTAAGAATGACCCGTCTTCAACACCCTCGACACACTAACCACCTTGCCCTCGCCCAGAATGGCACCACTCTCCGGCCCACCTGCCGCTTCCACAATCCGCATCGCCTTATCCGCAATATTCTTCTCCAGAGTCACAGCCCGTCCAATCCACCACGCCAAAGAAACCGTGTTGCGAATCGCCTGCTGTCGCACCCGTTCCGCTCGATGAGGTGGACCCGCACTTCCAGCGCGGCACCCCATTTCAACAACCGCCGCACGCATCGCCTTATCCACCAATCGATCCGTGCGCGATCTCGTCATCGTCATGCACGTACCATCGCCACTAGCGATCGCTGCCGGGACGAGTGCCTCTCCCCTCGGTGAACCATACACATTTGGTGTAACCTGCCACATAGTGGGATACGCACGACCCATGTAATCTGCATCTAGACAGGGAACGCCGTAATGTGCGGCGACACCAAGATTCACCATGCCGTTACCACCACCAATCTCAAGGGCTAGGAAGGCAGAGACTGGGTCACTACCGGTCACCCGCATTAGTTCTTCGTGGGCTTGTAGGCATTCGCTGTTCTCGAGTCGCTCCATGCTTACTTCGGGGCTGCCCATGCATCCCGTCCAGCCGACGAGGCTGTCGTCGGGTAGGGAGTCTGGGGATATGATGCGGACGGTACCGGGGTGGTCTTGTAGGTAGGCTTTGGCTTTTAGGTATTCCTGGTAGGGGTCGCCGCCACCACCGCAGCCGAGAATTTTGCAGCCGCGGGTGATGAAGTCGAGGTCGGTGGGGGAGATGATCCATTCGTTGTTTTGGATGTGAGGGCGGTAGGAGTGGAGATCAGGTTGTGTTTCTGTTAGCTGGGAAGCATGAAGTGGAGGAGTGATAGTGTCTGTGTCGTGGACTTCCTCGTCTGGAATAGGGACTGCTTTGTCTGCGGATGATGTCGCTACGATATCCAGTTCTCCCACGGCCCGCACCACAATGCGTGCCTTGGCCTCGACATACTGGATGGGTAGCATGGTCACCTCCGCAATCTGCACTGTATCTGGCCGAGCACCATTGCCGAGGGCCTTGTCAATCGCCATTTGGGAGACAGCCTCTTGTGCCTCTTTGACAGTGCAGTTCGAGGTATCAACGACCGTATCCATTACACCCGAGACGCGCGAGATAGCAGCACCCACAGCGTTGGCAACTTCGCCGCCCTTGACGGTCTGCACTCGACGCACACTTAGCAGGGGCTCATCGGTGCGAATGATAGGTGCACCGCCGCCGACGATAAGAACGTCCACGTCGTCTTTGTGGATCTTGGTACGGTCAACGAGCTCCTCGATCTTCTTTCGCATGAGGGATTGTGCCTGATTCACCATAGGGATAGTTATCTCCGTTAATGTGGAAACATCACCCATCCCTCCCAGCGGGTTCATCTCCGTGATGCCATTGACAGCAGATGCCACAGCGATATCGGTCGCAGTGAGATACTCTCCGCCAAACAGTCGGGCCTTCTCCAACAGTTCGTGGGCCACACTATCCGGACCCACAGAGCAATCATCCTGTCCGATGCTGCGGATAATACTCCCTCCACCAAGCCCAATGCTTTCCACGGCTGGAAGAGCAAAGTTGGTGCGCACACCCCCGACCAGACTCGTCACTGAGCTCATCTGTGGCAGGCCATTAGGTAAGAGTAGTCCACTGTCGGAGGTGGTTCCGCCAATGTCAATGACCACTAAGGGTTCTGTGCGCGTTGCCTGTTCTTTCTGCAGCTGCGCAGCTTCTGTAGCCGTACGCCATAAAAACTCCCCACCACGTATAGAATTGGTCGGGCCTGAATTGAACGTCCGGATGGGGAGATGAACTGCCTCAGCCGCAGTGAGAACGCTGCCGTCATTCTGGGTCAGATACAGAGTATACGGAACATCCTGGAAGATATCCTCCATGGCCTTTTGAAAGCCATAGATCGTTCGTTCGGCCAGTGGACGCAGAGTGGCGTTAAGGATGGCCGCGTTCTCTCTGGCCAGAAATCCCAAACCAGACACCTCATGCGAGAGAGTAATCCGCGCTTTGTATGAAGGACCAGCATGCGTTTCCATTGATTGCAAAAGAACCTCTTTTGCCCTCATCTCCTGGCGATGATCTAATGGCGCATACATTCCGGCAATTACCACGTTCGAGATCCCATCATTGATCAACTGCGCGCCTATGGTCTCAATCTCCGCCTCATCCAGCGGGCTGATCTCCTCCCCAGAGATCTGGTATCCTCCATGGCAGAAGTGCGGCCCCGATGCTTCGATACGCGCACGCAGATCGAGTGGAAAGTCGACAAAAGGAGGGATGTTGCGACCGAATCCCTCATCGGGTCC